CCCTCCCCCTTTGGACAGCAAAAATTTCCTCCGTGGGGGGGGGGGTTAAGGATCTTTTCCGGAACGACCCATTGTAAGCAAGTCATTGGTGAATAAATATTTTTGCCGATCCCCTATGCTTACCCTGATTTTAGAGGCTCTTTGCGAGGCGAAATAAGCAAGAGACGAGAAGGAAGAGCCTCAACCAATGGTTGCAAATCGCAAAATTCCATATTTGATCGGGTTCAGAATTTGAATCTTGCATGTGATATTTGCAAATATTTTTACAAATGGACAATCACATGCAAGATTCAAATGGGTCGTTCCAGAAAAGATCCATCCCCCCCCCCAGAGGAAATTTTTGCTGTCCGAAGGGGAAGGGAGGGAAGATGTTTTAGGATGATATCCAAAGGGGAAGGGAGGGAAAATGTCTTAGGATGTCCGAGGGGATGGGGGAAATGTGGATATAAGTTTGTCCAAAGGTTTGAGACTGTGATAAAGCTATGTGATCAGCGATTATAATGAGCATGACAATCGGCGCCTATTTCTAATCCTGAGCTGCAAGTCTATTTTCAATTTGTTTTTGTACTCAAGGGTTGTGCTTTTTTGTACAGTACAACCTAATGACTCAGTCAATTCCATAGATACCAGTCCCTCCCCTCCCGCATTTGTTGGGCATTCTACTGTACTTGTTCCCAAGGATGTTTCAAAGATTTCAGGTTTTATACATCCCATTGTTTTTAACACCAACCAAATAAGAATTTGTTACAGAATTTTTCACTGCTGTTTGAGATTAATTGCACTTCAGTTAACCAATCACAGGCTAGAGTGGATTGATATATCCGGTATACCGGTATTTGTTTAGATACCGGTATTGGCGATATTGACAATTCAAAAACACTGATATACCGACATTTCGGTATTTTGCTGTGTAATAACGGATTGAAATGCTACTTCGAGTCGAACTTACTTACAATCTTGTTTAGAAACCAAAGTTACTACTCACATATGGACGATTTTGTTCTTATACAGTACTAGCAACTTTGGTTTTAGCAATACCAAGACGTCTTGTTTATTAAATCGCCTTAATTGGAAATATATAAATGGTGAAAATTTTTAAGGAATGGCGAAATTTTTAACGCTTAGCGCCGTTAACATACTTTGATAATGCGAATCTTGTGAAATTTGCACTAATAACAATATGTGTCACATTAATATTTTGTCAAAACTTGATTTTTTTCAACGTTCAGCAGTTCAGTTTGAAAAACACAGTAAAAATACATTCTGATGGTGGTATATCGGTATTCGGTATTTGCGATATCGATCCATTCTATCACAGGCTGGTAATTTTTTCATGTATTTTATTAATTACTGGTATGTAATAATCCTTTATCAATTTATTTATCTAGGTTAGATACATCATTGTGTTCAACTGCATGTCACAGTCATAATGGAAGATTTAAAGGTGCTGTGAAACCTAGATCATTTCAAGACCAGATGGTTGTGCGAGGCAAAAAAATGATTCTGTTGGATTGCTGTCGAGAAGAGTAACTGCGTAAGAACAAACTTTTTATTTTTTATTAGTAAATATACAGGCAAACCTGGAAATAAGCATCTGGTCACAGTCATTGACTGGCACAGTGCTGTGATGTCATTGTTTTTAAGGCATTCACTTGAATGGGAAAATATTATTACTAGGGGCACCTACTTGCAGTTGATTTCACGAAACGTTGACCACAAATGTTCCGAACTTTGTTGTTAAGTTCGCAAGTTTGTTGCGAAGTTCACAAGTTCATATTGGAATTCACAAGCCAATTTGTAAACAAAGTCCCTGATTGGTCCCCGAAGTAAAATAAGCCAATCAAATGCGTAGTTTACAAATTGGTTTGTGAATCTCATTATAAACTTTTGAACTTCACAACAAACTTGCCAATTTTGCAACGAAGTTCGGAACATTTGATGTAATAAATGTTTCGTGAAATCGACTGTAAAACATATAATCTTTATAACATAGTCAAGTTCCATAGAATATGCCTGATAAAATTGGTCTTTTTTTCTAATAGGTATAACACAAACTGTTTCATTGAGTTTGGATAATTTGAAACGCAGAATGTGGATTGAAGAATAATGTTCCAAGTATCTTGGTGAGACCAATTGCCATGAGTTGTGTAGTGTGGATGGTTCCATAATTAACAACAGTATGAACACCTGGGACAGACACGCTATGTCTGTGGACTGGTCCTTACGAGGGGAAGATTACTACCTGGTGCACAGGAGGCAGTTTCACGGAGAACGTAAACCATAAATTATTTGTGTTGTGTAGTGTGGATGGTTCCATAATTAACAACAGTATGAACACCTGGGACAGACACGCTATGTCTGTGGACTGGTCTTTATGAGGGGAAGATTACTACCTGGTGCACAGGAGGCAGTTTCACGGAGAACGTAAACCATAAATTATTTGTGTTGTGTAGTGTGAATGGTTGCAATGACAACATGAACAGGTTGAGAGCTAAGATTGATGCAAACAAATACATGTCAGGTAATAATTGTATAATACATGATGCACATATATTTATTAATCTTTTAAACAGTCTATTTTAGAGAATTCTGAAAACTGCCCTCAATATGTCAGTAAGTTGGTATTTTCTCTTAGAACACAAAAGTTTGATTGAGTTTGGACAATTTGAATGACAGCTAGTTAGAATATGGATTGGAGAATAGTTTGTGTTGTTTGATTATATGGTTCCTTTATGATGATATGGACCTATTGGAGAGCAAAGATGGATATAAATGATGACACAAGGGGTAATAATTCTATATTACATGCTGTCCATATGTTTGTTACTCCCCCATGCTAGTGAACAGCTGAAGGCTGAATTGGGTGAAAATGCACAAAACTTTCTTTTGTTGAATTGCCTACATCTTTAATCCATTAAGCGCCAGCATGCTCACCTTGACAAGTAAAATCATCTGGCGTTAGGCAGAGTAAAATAATAAAGTAGAGAGCATCAGGGCGCAGCGGAACTCAATGGTTTAATTCGAAATAAGGCGTAAATACCTGTGGTTCCTGTTCCCGACCGACCCTATTTTGTCAACAAGATTGACCGTGTGACCTTGTTTCCTCCAGGTAGGTTGCAAGCAAAATGATGTCTGTTGTCACACTAATTATTGAACCAAATTGCCTAAATTTGTCCATAGGAAATACACATCTCTAGTTAATATTGATGTGGGACTCTACTGCAAATTGCTCAGCAAAAAAACCCCACCAAAACCATGAAGAAAGTATTCAGAAACAAAATTTATTTCCAACCTTACTGACCCTAATTTTTTCACAATATGAAATCGGAACCACAGGTATTTTTTTACGCCTAAGTGAATTTAACAACTGTGCAGTAATTGGTATAATAATATCTTGTCATTCTTTTTCAGATTGCATGCCATCATTGTATGCAACAATTTGTCCGACTATCCTGCACCAGACATGTTTTGACCATGACCAGAGTTGCTAACATCTACTTCCAACAATTTGTAAATGCCTTGGGTGTTTTAACATCATCGACTCGTTTCATCCAAAGGCGAGGAGGATTCAGTATCATCATGTACGAGTGATAAAGCAACAACCTTTGAGAATGACATCAATGTTCCCTTGGGCAAGTCTTTTTTTCTTTTTATTTTCAAATACTGTGTGTGTGTGTTTCTGTATTGGTGTGTTCTGTGCTTCTGTGTAAGAATGTTATATTTATAACCGGAGTTATAAAAAATGTAAATTTCCTTGCTGATAAGGAAATTTCAGTTTTGCAAAGTGGAAACACTGACAAAATGCTGCTTTTTTGCTGCAAATTGATTGTGAATTTTTTGCAAAAATTTCAGTCACATTTTTTTTACACATTCAATATAACAATGAAATCGCAATCGTAAATGAATCCATTTGACTGTTTTGTTTTTTATTCATAAATTGAAAAAAAAATAGGACTTGCCAAATCCTAAAGGTCTTCTGGTCAATTTCAGATGCAGTGCTTCATTTTAAAATTCATGTGGTCAGCGTGTTTAAATAAAGTTCATTGATCTATTTTACACCAAACTACATATGCAGGTTTTGCTTGAAAACACTTATAATATTCATCTATAACATCCTGATAATTGTGCCAGCCTGTTGCTTTTTGTCATTGAATACAAGCTTCTCGGCAAGTGGGGTTAGTTAATTACTATAAAATACAACATAAAAATTTTAAACCTATCAGATTAAGCAGTTATATTGACTGGCCCAATGTGAGGCTTTTTCTATATAATAAAGTATATAATAAATATAATCAATAAAAGTATATAATAAATATAATCAATTAAAGTATATACAAATTGTCACCTTATCCAATGCAAGCACAATTGTGCACATACCTGTGATTAAAAATTTCATAATTTATGCATGTGTGATCTTTTGATGATGGCAGGAAGGAAAAAATATTTTGGAAACCAGAAAAAGAATAACTGGACATCTTCAAAGGGCATGTTGAGAATGTTATGAACACATATAACCGTCCAGTTCCCTCACTGAACTTCCAAATGTATTTATGTGAATTAAGTAAGGTATAAGTAATACAGGTATATTATGTAAGTAATACTATATTTGAATTCTTCCACTTTCCAACAAGCTGTATTTGTTATTAATTATAATGAAGTAAGATATTTTTCATAACACATGCATTAGAATGAATATAACAATGTGTCAATATATAATAATATGACATATTTTTGATAAATTGAATTGTAATAGAATAACACAGTGCAGTGTACGCAACTAAAATTGGCTTGGAAGGTGTCAACCTCCTTTGATCATTTCTTTTTGTATATTGGTATTTTCCCTCAAGGTGCTGTGTGTTTGCACATGCTGTTTCTTCTCTTTTTCTTTCCATCGTCCAACGTGATGGTTTTCATATCTTCCTTTGTGTCTATGACCTTTCTCAGATGACATTGTGCATTTGGAACAATTGAAATAAAATTAGAATAATTGTATTCACAAATCATTTCTTGCATTCATTTCCTGCATCTGCTAATATCAGATATTTTGTGAAATTTATTTCATCCAGGAGACCCAGGAGCTTGCAAGGAGTTGTCTCCACTGCATGGTCAGGGTAATGTGCATTTGGTAATAATCTTTTGCTAGGCTTCTGCTGTCTTGAAAATTCCTTTTTTGCTAATGATATAGTTGGCTTTTCCTGACCAATGGTTAGATATGAATATTTAACGAGTGTGTCTATATAACAACGAGTGTGTCTATATATCCATATTTTTTAGATTCTTGCACTTCACTTGGTGGAATTAATATTAGGATGTTAGAGTTTGTAATCCAAGTGAGAATATATACATTTTAAGACCTAACCAGGAAAAATGCAACACAAGGTCCTCTGGTAGAACCTAAAAACATGCAAGTGAATGCCGTGAAGATGAGAAAACAAGTTAACACAAGAAATAAAATGGTATTTTACCTGAAAAAACAGTCAGTCCAGTATAGTTATTCTCAATATTTAACTTGATAATTCGCATAATGTTGGCGGAAACATCTAGCTCATTTCTATAAACAACGACAAATGAAAATGAAGATGCAAGCTAGCAAACACATGAAGTTCGCACAAATTTTTTCTACATACTTAGAGTGTGGTAGTTTGTGGATTTTTGCATCAATTCCAATACATGCAGCTGGTATTTCCGCATGTATTTCTTACTCAGCTTGTATTTATACAACTTCTTCATGTCATGATACCGCAGAAATACTTTATATCCAAAAATCAAGTTCACCGATTTGCTATCAAATTTGTAATGGTTTCATTGGAAAATAATATTATCAACCTTAATTGACTGCTTAACTTGACATCTTGTTCGTCAAAACGCTTTTCATTGATTCAAATTACAATAATATATTCTTTCTATAGCGTATATTAAACAGTATTACAATAAAACTTACGCTCTCGGCCGGTTGCCCAGTGAAGGTAGAAAGTTGTTCATCACAAGTTATCCTGTGTTGGTGGTGCTGGTATCTGTTTAGTTGCTGCTGTTGGTGCATCTGCATGGCCTGGTGTTGCTGGTCTATTAAGAATATCAGCACATAAGCTAACTGTTGAAATCGGTAGATACAACAATGTCCCATACAATGATAGACTATCACAATGTTGTGAATATCCTATTATAATCTTGACATGCTGATCGACATTTTCCATTATGCACTCTTTCATGTGTCTTCAAGTTACGTGACGTGTTCCTTCAAATCACCTTTTAAAATGTACAAAATGTCTTATCACAATGTTGTAAATATCTATAGCTATTATAATCTTGACATGCTGATCGACATTTTCCATTATGCACTCTTTCATGTGTCTTCAAGTTACGTGACGTGTTCCTTCAAATCACCTTTTAAAATGTAGAAAATGTCTTATCACAATGTTGTAAATATCTAGCTATTATAATCTTGACATGCTCATCGACATTTTCCATTATGCACTCTTTCATGTCTCTTCAAGTTATGTGACGTGTTCCTTCAAATCACCTTTTAAAATATACAAAATGTCTTATCACAATGTTGTAAATATCTAGCTATTATAATCTTGACATGCTGATCGACATTTTCCATTATGCACTCTTTCATGTGTCTTCAAGTTACGTGACGTGTTCCTTCAAATCACCTTTTAAAATGTACAAAATGTCTTATCACAATGTTGTAAATGTCCTATTACAATCTTAAGCAGACTTTGTGAGTAAAATGAAGTAGGAGATGAACATCACTTTTTAATATAATAATAATAATAATAATAATAATTTAATACTTATATCGCGCAAATTTACATTCATGTATGATCAAATGCGCGTAACAACTGTTGAGATTTAAAATTACACTATATGAGTAAAAATTTCTATTCTACTAATGTACCATAATGGTCCTAAAAGTTCATTGATAAAATAACTTATATATCGCGTCTTTTACTCATGGAAACGAGGATCCCAGGCTCCTATACTACTAGAATTGGTATGGCTTCTAGAACTACAATCTAAATAGACGTTTGGCAGTTCAGGTGATAGGTATTGATAGCATTGGATAACTATATCAGTTCTAAGAGGTTCAATAATATATTCCACTCACTCTCGTCGAATATGAGAACAGCCGATATTCAACTCGAATTCATAGAATAACGGTTTAAACATTTTTAACAACAAGTGTATCTATAAGTATAATACTGTGCTGTGCTGAGTGGTTATATTACTACCTTAAAAAATAAGCAGAAACTCGACGTTTCGAGCGAAGGCCCTTCGTCAAGAGTTACTAACTTTTTGACGAAGGGCCTTCGCTCGAAACGTCGAGTTTCTGCTTGTTTTTTAAGCTAGTAATATAACCACTCCGCACCGCATTTTCATTTTGGTACTACCCACACTGGTATAGTTTTAGTATAAGTATAATAGTTGTGCATACCATTGCCACAGATGTAATTCCTTGCCCATGGTGGTTATGACCATTGGCTTCTGCAGCCGGAAACTGGAGACACCTGTATATTTTTTTACAAAAAATGTTCATAAAACTAGAAATACATGCATGCAGTAACCTAGCCTGCGTTGCAGGCTCAAGGAATAAAGAGAGACCGCAACAATCTCAGGGAAATTTGATAACCGCCCACTAATTACTATGATAATTTATTTCCAATCCAACCAATCATATTTTCTGAAATTCGTGTGTGTGATGCAACGTGAGTAATAACTATAAATATACTTTAATTTATTACCATACTAGTTCATATAGAGTGGCTCGAGATTTCAAACTTTTAAAAAATTGGCAGTTTAAATTACTTTTGGAGTAAATAAAACAGAATTTACACCGGCGATGCCGGTTTGGTACATTTCGATACATTAGTATGTGACACAGTTCACCAGAACAAAACATTTTGACTTGATACTGCAGTCCAGATGTCGTTGCTCAACAGACTATTTTTACGTATTAATAATGAACGGAACTCAAGCATATATTTATATCAAAAGGAAGACAATACCATCTTAGGTCCAAACGTTACTATAAGTTTCAAAATTATACATATTATACACTAGTCAATTGAAACCCCCGGGACAGGGCGGGGAATTAACGGGGGAATTTGGGATTGGGCTATTCCATTTAATTAATAAATAATTCCATTTATCTTTCAAATTTGAGTCCCAAAATGAAGATCGGTGGAGCAACTTCGCAAAAATATTTATTTTTCTGCTTTCGAACGGTGTTTTTCCTATGCTTTTGACTGAAAACATGACGAATGACACTTGCCAGAGCAATTTGCGTGACGCGTGGAAATGGCGTGGCACGGGGACACAAAGAACAAAGGAATCACCGCGAGTTCCGCCTCTGTATACTCTGGTGAGGATGAGGAGGACGACCACCCACTCAAGTTCGTTGGTCACGCCCGCGATATTTGATGAACTTTAGACTTCGCTAATGCTTTCGTTTCCCCGGGTGTAAATAGCCGGGGGGATTAATACCCTCGCACGGCGATTGGCGCCGTCGGCTCGGGGATTAATCTTAATTCATAGCAGTATAAGGAAGGACCAAGTGGCGGAAATTCACTTTTCCGGTGGGAGGGGTGAGGTAGCCTCCTACCCAAACCTCCTGAGCGGGCTGTGGCAGGCCCAAGGGAGGAGGGGAGCGTGATAAAATATGCCAATGAAACACGATAAAATCAAACCTGCGTCAACATCCGCCAGGATCTTGTGGAAATCAACCTTGGCGTCGATGATTACCAGCAGGTGCCTCGCATATTCAAAATTGTAGGCTTTCGTCCCAGATTGACTAGAAAGAATTAAAAAATAGAAATTTTAATAATTGCGTTCAACCTTGAAGTGATTGTTTACAAATAGAAACTTGAACGTTTGTTGTCAACGTTAATAAAAATAGGTACGCAATGCGTAATGTTAGTATAAGTGTAATAGTTGTGCATACCATTGCCACAGATGAAATTCCTTGCCCATGGTGGTTATGACCATTGGCTTCTGCAGCCGGAAACTGGAGACACCTGTATATTTTTTTATAAAAAATGTTCATAAAACTAGAAATACATGCATGCAGTAACCTAGCCTGCGTTGTGCAGGCTCAAGGAATAAAGAGAGCCCGAAACAATCTCAGGGAAATTTGATAACCGCCCACTAATTACTATGATAATTTATTTCCAATCCAACCAATCATATTTCCTGAAATTCGCGTGCGTGATGCAACGTGAGTAATAACTATAAATATACTTTAATTTATTACTATACTAGTTCATATAGAGTGGCTCGAGAATTCAAACTTTTAAAAATTTGGCAGTTTAAATTACTTTTGGAGTAAATAAAACAGAATTTACACCGGCGATGTCGGTTTGGTACATTTCGATACATTAGTATGTGATACAGTTCACCAGAACAAAACATTTTGACTTGATACTGCAGTCCAGATGTCGTTGCTCAACAGACTATTTTTACGTATTAATAATGAACGCAACTCAAACATATTTATATCAAAAGGAAGACAATACCATCTTGGGTCCAAACGTTACTATAAGTTTCAAAATCATACATATTATACACTAGTCAATTGAAACCCCCGGGACAGGGCGGGGAATTAACGGGGGAATTTGGGATTGGGCTATTCCATTTAATTAATAAATAATTCCATTTATCTTCCAAATTTGAGTCCCAAAATGAAGATCGGTGGAGCAACTTCGCAAAAATATTTATTTTTCTACTTTCGAACGGTGTTTTTCCTATGCTTTTGACTGAAAACATGACGAATGACACTTGCCAGAGCAATTTGCGTGACGCGTGGAAATGG